TTTTGTTTGTTTGTTACAGCAGGCCAAAAGGGGCTTTTGGTCAGTAACGGTGATTGGGCATACTAATATGACCGCTCAAGCACTTCCGGTGGCTTCACCACATTCTGGTTAATTCTAGTGAACAAATGTTTAATTGTATTACAAAAAAATGGCCATACACTATCAAACGAGTAAACTGAAATATACTATACTACACAGATATAAATTATCAAACATACAGTAGTATAAATATACTACTAACCCTAACCCTAACCCTAACCCTACAATATCAAAAAAAAATGTCACATGGGGGGTAATCTTAACATTTTAAGAAGAACTCAAAGCTACTTATCATTTGAAACTGCTACAACAGCTTACTTGGTTAATTTTGAGTCAATAAGATATTAATAGGAGACTAGCTCTGAACAGATAATTGAATTAGTGAGTTGTTGACTCGAGAAAAAAAAAAAGAGTAAAACAATTTAAAATAAGAAATGAATCGTTTAGTGTGATTTGTGAACCTATTCAGCCGGTTATATTCAAAGATTCCGCCAACTCTATGTGTTTTGTAGTAAATGCTTATGAAATGGTGTAAGAAGTAGGCAACCATAGGCCTACCCTTACGAAAAATGTTTATTCAAGTGTGCTATTAGTATACTTATTTTAAACTAAAAAAATAGGAAAGTATATTTTGTCTACTTTTTATGTACTTCTTAGAAATGGGCTTTAGTGTATACTTACTACATACAGTATACTTAAAATATACCTGAACTTTACTTAAGTATACTTAATAAAATAAACTTGAAGTATACTACTTTTTGGTAAGGGTACTATGCTTTGGAATTTGGGAAATAATTTTAAATTACTTGTCTGGCAGAGTAGTAGCACTGGAATCTTATCATCTTAAAGAAAGTTCAAGAAAAAAATTAAGTAAACTCTAAAAAGAGTTTACTAAACCTAAGGCTTTACATTTTTATTTATTATTACTATTATCATCATTCTTATTTATTTACTCTTTATTTCAGCATGTTTAGGTTGCTGAAATGTACCCACAACAGGATCAGCTGTCAGTTTACAGACTGATATGAAATCTGCTCAACATACATTTGTAGGCTTTTCTTTTATTATCTTTTATCTTATATGGGCTTTGGAAGACATAAGGCTGAGTAAATGATGACAATGTTTTCATTTTCTGAGTGGACAATCCCTAAACATTGCTGCCTTTAAGTGAATAGCACGCATTATCTTGCAGATTAAAAAGAGGCTTTATTCATTCATTCAATTTAAATATTTATTTCAAAGTCTGCGTCCATATTTTAGCGCAGTTCCTGTTTTTATGACATTTGTTAAACTAGTAGTACAATCCGTTCAGTATTCTGAGCCTGATACGATGCGTTATCTTTCTTTAAACACCATTAATGCATTCATTAGTTCATTCTGATCAGTACTTTGACTGGCATGCGCTTCTGTTCGGCACATGGCTCAGTAGTGGGCGGGGCTCGTGACGTATGACGTAAACAAACACTGGCTTGTTCTCGAGGCGCTCTGGTTTTCGGACCGCAGCTCAGCTGACCGTGACGCACCGCATTCGCGGCACAGGGCGAAGGACAGACGCATATAGAAGCTGGGTGTCGGTTTCACGCTGAGCTGAAGCAGTAATGAAGCCCAGTGTGCCGACGGCAAATGGCTGATTCTGACGGAATTCCGTACCCACGCGTACGCTAAAAGAGCGTCAGTTCCTGTGATCCGCGTCTTGGGAGACGGGACGGACTAGAGCTGCAGCGAAATATCTCAGCCCTGTTTACAGAAGCACGGCTCCTCCTGGCTGGATATACTTCTAAAAAAGGTAAAGGCTGGTATAATAGGGCGGCCACAGGGATTGCTGGGTCTCTGAAATGCTGTATTTATAGGGAGCTGTGTGTGTGTCTCTATGATGACCACCGTGTTTCAGCAGCACCAGCTGTCAGGGGCCATATGGCCCACACAAATCGCTTTTCAACTTTGGGCTTGAAATAACATCACATTGTGTCCGGTTTCCAGAGTGTTCCAGACACGGACAGGCCAGACTCCAGGGGAATACCAGTCTATATTTAGTCAATTAATCCAAGTCCAGCACTTTGTGATAAACTGTCATAATAAGCGACAGTTCATTGAGCTGCTGTCATCCACAGCACTGCGTTTGAACATGAACAGAAATCCTGCTAAAAGTTCTGCCATTAGAAGATTAAAGTTGATGCAATAAACGTATTAATTATGTGTTGCATTAAAATGATCAAGAACTCGTTATGTTTGATGTCATGGGATTCGATTTGAATGATCACAGATGCCTACTTGTGTGAACTTGACTGTAACTGACATGTACCAACAGTTCTGCAAATCATAAGGGTTTCAGAAACACTCCTTGACTTCTTGCTCTTTCGCACATGTGAGTAACAGGTGGACTAAGCTGAAGGCAGCAATGGTGGATTACTATGATGTGCTGGGAGTGTCACGACATGCTTCTCCAGATGACATCAAGAAAGCGTAAGTTAAAACTGCCTTCACTTATCAGTAGCTTGCAGCATATTGGCATTGGTGTTATTGGATGTAGCTAACTAAATTGGTCTCTAACAGATGTAAGTGAAGACTCAAGTATTTTGAGACTTACTGTTTACCTTTATAAAGTATTCATCAGCAGTGAAATAGATACACTACCGTTCAAAAGCCGTTGCTCAGCAAGTTTGCGTTCATTTTATGAAAAATACAGTGATAACTAATATTGTGAAATGATTACAGAAAAGATCATTGTGGATGACTTTTATTCTTTGTTTATATCTTCCAATTATGACCTTTTTCTCAGAATTGAGAGTTTAGGCTAAATCTCAAAACAAGTTTCCATAATTTTAATATATTTGAAAATGTAATGCATTCCTGGGATGCAAAGCTGAATTTTCAGCATCATTACTCAAGTCTTCAGTGTTCAGAAATCATTCTAATATGCCGATTCGGTGCCCAAGGAACTTTTAATATTATTATCAATGTTCAAAACAGATGTGCATTTAAATATTTTGAACATGAAGTTCATAAATGACAGTGTCATAAAATGTAATTCTGCTTCTTTGCTGTGGTATGTAACTCTGACTATTTGACCTATGCTAATATCTTTAGTAAAGCCACACTTTACTAAAGATAAGACTAATGGATTTTATAGTTTTGCCACTAGTTTTTATTTTCTGCTTTTCCTTCAAATGAAGTAGAATGATCAAGCTGAGATGCCTGAGTTGTAAAAAAAGTGATCATTCACAAAGGACAATATTTAACTTGACTTAGTCCTCAAAAATGGGGAATTCATGAAGCAAGATGCTAAAAACAAATATGAATCACAGCAGTCTAATATGTCAGTCTAATGTTTATATAGAAGAAGATGGATGCAAGAATGTGTCATATGTGAATGACCCTTGACCCTATATGTCACTTCATCACAATCTTGAGATGCCAGTCAAGCTAAGTTTACTCATGTTTGTTTATGTTTGTGTATACAGTTACAGGAAACAGGCTCTACGGTGGCACCCTGACAAAAACCCAGACAACAAGGACGAGGCGGAGACCAAATTTAAGGAGATAGCAGAGGCCTATGAAGTTCTTTCAGACAGTAGGACACTGGAAATTTGAACTCTACAGCTATTTTATTCATGATTAAATTACTTGAAAGGCAAAAATTATGTAGGGTGTTACATTTTGTTTTTTTTCTCATTTTCAAGGAAGCAAACGAGATGCTTACGACAGATACGGTAGATCAGACATGCCAAGCTCAGGTGAGGAGAACTTCATACTGCTTGATACCGTCTTATTGTTAAATGTGCTTTTGTGATATTTTAATTGTTTTCTACATCTGTTTTATAGGCTCTGGTGGTTCTTCATTTCCTGATGACTTCCCAGGATTCACCTTCACATTCCGCAGCCCAGATGAGGTGTTTCGAGAGTTCTTCGGAGGGCAGGACCCATTCGCAGACTTCTTTGGTGGGTTCTCAGGGAGTTAGTGGGTAGATATGCTGATCTTGAATCTTGCTCAAATACTAGTGCGAGTGTTTTCTCTGTGTCAGAATTTCCCTTATACCAGTGGTTCTCAAAACCAGGGGGCCGGGGCCCACTAAGGGGTCTCTGCAAACATCCAGGGGGCCCCTAATACGTCATAAAATTATTTACATTTAGTTCATGATCTTAATTAAAATGCTGAAAACTAAGGCATAGACTAGATATTAAGGCCAAAAATAAATCTTACAAAATTGTAGCTCACAAGAAGCTTGAAATACAAGTTGTCTGTACGCTGATTTGAAACAACAACAACAACAACAAAAAATAAATAAAAAGAAGAATATAAAAGAGAATGGTTGCTTGCTGATGTTCTGTTGATTCCTCCTCCTGAACTTTCCCTTGCCCCGTATCTTGCTCTCTCATAGGCTATAGGTCATTGGCGATTTCATTTCCAGGGTATTGGGGACAAATTGGCGCTTCTCTTAGATTGCAAAAATCGGGAATAAAATCATGCAGTGTGTACTTAGCATTACCCTCTTTAACCCTCTCGCTTTTTCTACACTCCCCCACTTTGCCACTAGATGATTTCCCATTTGGTGGAATGCACAGTGGGTTTCACAGCTCCTCCTCCAGGCTTGGGCCCAGTCGCTTCTTCTCCTTCCCCTCAGCAAATGGTTGGTTTTTAAACTGGTTTCATGCTTATTTTTTATATTATTATAGCATATGTGGTCAGTCTTCTCCCAGATTATTACTTAATTTAGGTGAACTTTGCTGAATATATCTTGATAAGATAAAAAACTCCAAGGCATGTTGTTGATATGAAAGTATAGTTCCAATTGCTTTATATTGTGTTTTCAATTTATTAAGAGCTGCTGCTTTTTTTTTTTCTTTTTTTTTTTCTTTTTTCTTTTCAAGCACACATGTTGAAACAAGCCAGAATAACTAAAATGAATTCACATGGTTTAAAATAAAATTGCAATCTTTGTTAAAAGCAAACAATTAAAACCATTGTGTTTTGCTTGTTTTTGAAAGTCCATGTCTGTGGTGTGTTTTAAAAGGTGTGAATGTTTCAAAAGTAAAAAAGTTTAAAATAGCATACAAGCATCATATGATGTGCAATAAAACCCAATTCCATTTGATAAAACACAATAAAAACACCAATTAAGAGACTTTAAAAACAGCTGATTTCACCTCCTTCTCTTCTTCAATGGGTGGGATGGGCAGCATGGGAGGAGCAAACTTCAAGTCTGTTTCTACTTCCACCCGCATTGTCAATGGAAAACGTATTACCACAAAAAAGTCAGTTTGCTTCTCATTATACCAATTTTTATTTTTTATTTCAATTTATTTGAAATGTGATTTTGAAATCACAGAAAAATGCGTCCTGCACATTAAACATTTGTTTTTGATTAAATGAGTAATTTAATTGCAGTTAATGTAGAATAGTAAAAGTTGGTTTATACCTTGCCATAATGTGAAGGCATGACTTACAGAAAGTCAAAGCAATTAAAGTTTGTTTATGTATTTCCTATTTATTGGTAAACATTGCATTTCTTCCATCAGGGTCAGCGAAAATGGCCAGGAGAGAACAGAGGTTGAGGAGGATGGGGTTTTGAAAACTGTCCTCATCAATGGTAATTCATTTTTTGCTATAATTTAATAATAATATAAGGCCAAAAGGAAATCTCTATAGTTAATGCACACATTCTGGTGTGCAATAAAAATTCACCTCATCAGCTCAGGATGAATCTGCCTGGGAAAGATGCATTTGGAATACTAATACACATAACCTACCCTTCAAACCTTTGGGGTCAATAAGATTTTTTTTTTTTTTAATTAATGCTTTTATTCAGAAAGAATGCATTAAATTATTTTTTTTTAAATACAGTAAAGACATAAAAATCTATTGTTATAATGTAACAAAGGATTTCTATTTGAAATAAATGTTGTTCTTTTGAACTTTCTGTTCATCAAAGAATCCTGAAAAAATGTCAAATGTGTTTCCACTAAATATAAAGCCGCACAACTGTTGTCAACATTGATAAATGATGATAAATGTTTCTTGAGCAGCAAAGCAGTATGATTTCTGAAGGATCATGTGACACATGATATATATTCAAAATATATTCAAATAGAAAACAGTTATTTTAAATTGTAAAAACATTTCGCAATATTTCAAATTTTTACTGTATTTTGACCAAATAAATGCAGCCTTGGTGAGCATAAGAGACTTCTTTCAAAAACATTAAAAAATCTAACCGACCTCAAACCTATGAATAGTAGAGTACACTTGTAGGAAATCACAAGATCATATAACTGGAAAATACAAATAATGGTATACCATTATTAGACCCCAAACATTTAAACAGTAATGTATGTGTAAATCATAACCATTTGGCTTGGTTATAAAAGTGAATTTGTTGAATATTTTAGAGTTTAACACAACACTCTTGCATCCTGGTGCAAAGACATGTCATTTTTTGGTACATCTTTATCCTTGTTTTCTTAATCTTTGCTTGTTGTCTAATGTCTACTAAATAACTTCATCTTGCCTTAAAGGTTTTAAGGACTTTTCCCTTTTATTACAGTGAAAACTAAGGAATTTTCTCTAATTCATCCACTTGTCACTGTAGATTACAAGTAGAACTATTTATGTTTAAACCCTTACTTCCTGTTTTAGTGCTAAGAACTTCTCAAATAACTCTAAACCACTAATTTAGTTATTCTCTTATGATTTGAGCCACACAGCCATACCAGAACATTTAATAAAATTAATAATAACACATTTTCCTCCAACTGTTTACATTCCTGAATATAGACTCAAAACAGCAGCTTAGGCTTGCAGGTAGATTTAGCTAGCTCATTACATTTCATGCCAGCTTCTTGGTTTTCCATATGCAGATTCCTCATTACCTAACGTGTTGCTGCAGATCTGATCTGACATTCAGCTGTGTTTGTGTGTCCAGGTGTGGAGGATGAGATGGCCTTAGCTCTGGAACTGAGTCGTAGAGAGCAGTCCAGTCAGCCTCCCAGACAATCCCAACATCCACTGCTCCGCCCCTCCAACAACAGCTCTCCAAACCCCGCTTTACGCTCCTACAGCGCCGCCCCGTTCTGCCACTGCCCCGATGCCAAGGAAGATGAGGAGGACGAAGACCTGCAGATGGCGCTGGCCTACAGCTTGTCGGAGATGGAGGCCCAGCAGCGGGCAGAGGACGTGATCTCAGGTGCTGGGGGAGGGAGGGGGAAGCAACCAGGTGGTGGGAAGGGTGCCGTTCAAAAAAACAAATATCAGAGAGAAGTGCTGGATAATTCAAATCAAAGCACCCCCTCGTCTCCAGAGGATAGACTGACAGAACAGAGTCAGGCTAGATGTTCAGAAAGTGTTGTTGTACAGAATAAGGAGAATGACAAAGTGGCGGCCAATGGGACTAATGTGGAAAAAAAGAGGAGGAAGTGTCAGTGCGTGGTGTGTTAGTAAGAATGTGGAGAAAAATCATGCTTTTGTGTGAAATTAACCTTATGTTTTCATCTTATGGTTGTTTTTTTATCCTTCCTGAAGTTTTTGACTTACAGCTCTGTCTCTTATGGCATTGCACAAAGATGACTGTTGAAATTGTATTTTCTTGCATTGAGGTATGAGTAACAGGTGCCAAAAAAAACACAAAGTCAGGAAATTTTACAACAGGACATTTTGAAGGAACTGTTTGCAATATTTTAGACTGCCATGCACAAAATGTCCTGCTGTCTGACAGATATCACTGAAATAGGTGTCGGGATATCATTTGCCAGCCTTCACTCTGTAAACAGTAAAAATAGTAAAGTCACTTTTGTAGCCAGTCAGAAACACTGTATGCCTGTGAATCGTTTGGGATTGCTGAAATCAGGTTGACTGACATGTTTTTACAGGGTGCGATTTTGGGATTTTGGAGAGCAGGTATATGGTTAGCAAAAGTTAGCAAAAAGGTGAAAGTTAGCATAATGGCTGAAATCTGTTACAGCACCTTTAAATCCGATATTCAAAATGACTTTTTGCTGCCAAACCAAGATAAATTCTCTGCGCTTACATTTTCACTTAGATTAAATAAATTGCTACTGAGTAAGTTGCTGCACTCTAAACCAGTGGTTCCCACAGTCTTGGAAAACCTAGATATATGAGGTAGCCTAATTTTACAAGTGTGATTTCTAGGCTTGGAAAAGTAATGTAAATTAACTGTAAAAGTCATGGGACCTTTGAATATAGTTGTGTACGATTGGTGGTCCTGGAGTCAGAAAGATTGAGTTTTAATGGCTTTTCTTAGTGTTACAATGCATCTGAATGGATATCTTGCTGATTAGTTGACGTCCCATTCCCAATGAACCTTTCATTTATTCTTCCAGCAGTGAAGTGCTCTGTTTCATCCATATTCACATTTACTGCTATTGTTCCTTCAAGAAAGGAGATTCTCTGATTTATGACTGGATGCGTTCTGATTTTTACTGTGCATTTGTCATTCCTTCAGAGGTACTTGTTGAATGTGAAGGGGGGGAGGGGGGGTTGCACAAAAACCTAAATATAATCTGCCTCTGAGGGCTAATGATGTGATTGGCAATGACTAATGGCTAGTCAGACATGTAAGAGAATGTAGATCCGGAATTATCTCAGTTAATGAAAAATGTGCCAAATAACTAACTGACTGACAGTAACTTGCATCATTAGCTTTATATGTGTCAGAATGACTCCGTATTGATATTTCGTTTGTGGCTTTTTTGTTAGAATAGAAATGCATGGCTATTGTTGCCAATGCTATATCTCGCTTACAAGTTTGTGTACAAGTTAGTCAAAGAAGCACATTTTACTTTTTTACCTGTTTGTGCATTTTGTTCCATTATAACTATCAGCTTTGGGATATAAAATTAACAATCAAAACATCAATACATGAACATTTGTTTTGCTTAAAAACACTAAGCACAGAAAGTTTGAATGTGATGCTATGTGAATATTAATAAAACGATTTTGTGTAACTATGTAAACTGCAAAGAGGAAACAAAGTCATTGATTTACACAAAACTGCTATTTACATTTGAAGACAACATCGTTCTCTCAGAAGTTATCATTCAGAGGGCATATTCAGTGCTCAGAAAGTGCTATTTAAATAGCTAAATTGTTAATAAATGCTGTTTCAGTCATGCTGTTGCTAATATGAGAAACAATAAATGCTAGCAAATACATTCTGCTCATAAGAATTCATTTGAAATTGTCAGCATAAAAAGTATTTTGATGGACCGCAAATTTTTATCCATTTACTTTTTTCTCCAGTTTACCTAATAAAAACAGCAGCTTTTTATGAACTGTATGCCTTTAAATTCAAATTGTGAGAATACAACTCCAGAAATTTATTTATTTTTTTTTCAGCTGAGAGGCTTTGCATTATATGTTAAATCCCTTTTCGCTTAAATCCACTATTCATTTGAAGCATGTAATTCTCCGATTTTTTTCAGTGTGATTGTTGTCATTTCCAGCACATTCATATCATCATTCCCACTCATATGTAAACCTCATGTGCATTTATTATGTTTATGATTGTTTTACCTGACTCATTCTCCCTGCCGTTACAGAGTCCGACTTCCAGGCCTTCACAGGCTGACTTGTGGCTGTGACCCCTTCGTACCCCCCCCACCCCCCCGAGGTAAAACGTAGTGTAGATGTCTCTGCAGCTCTTAAGCATAGTTTTCAGCTCTTCTCCCCATTATTCACAGTTCACGAACATTTGTGTATTTGTGTAATTACCTGAGAGTTTGCCGCTCCTGCTGTAGAGCATGCAGTATTCCAGGAAAATGTTGAACTCTACATGAGTCATTTGTGCATATAAATACTTAAGTAGAGTCAAAATAACAAACAGTCCTCAGTTTTATTACTCTGTGTTGTTTTAATTCATCAAACACAACACAAGAAACTGTGAAGCAACACTAATACTGGATTCATCCGTCTGCTCTTAACAGGTGAAGCGTTCCCCGGTGCTCTGCTCTCTCTTTCTGCTTCTTTGTCGCTCTCTGCCTGGCACACCTGTTGCTCAGAGCCTTTTCAAAGTTTTATTTGAAAAAAAACCCCCCAAAAAAACCCGGGCAACACTACACAAAGGTCAAAAATGTATGTGCTAAGTGTGTTTGTGTATGAATGTGTTGTGAGTCTTGGAGAGGCAATACTGGATTACTTTTTATATATTAATTAAATGTATGGCCTGCACTGATCAAATATATGAACTAATATAAAAATTCAAGTGTCTTAAGGACAAAGTTCATTAACATTTTAATAATGAATGATTCAAAGCTGCAATGAATGTATAGTTGCACTTGAAATGCTATATTTGAGAATTTAAAATCTTCATAACTTGATAAAGGTTTATTATTTATTCAGAAGGGTTTCTTGTGTTTTCATTGAAACCTCTGCTTTTCATAACTCATTATTTTGCAGTTGTTTTTATACACTATACGGTTCAGAAGTTTTGGGTCTGCAAGTTTTTAAAATGTTTTTGAAATAATCTTATTCTCACCACGACTGCATGCAAAATAAAGTTAAAGCAGTAATATTGTAAAATAAGTGTTTTCTATGTGAATATATTTTAAAATGTAATTTATTCCTGTGATGCACAGCTGGATTTTCAGCATCATTACTCCAGTCTTCAGTGTCACATGATTCTTCAGAAATCATTCTAATATGCTGATTTGAGGCTCAAGAAACATTCTTTATAATTTATTATCAGTGTTGAAAACAGTGTTGCTGCTTAATGTTTTGTGGAAACCGAAACTTTTTTTTTCAAGATCTTTTGATGAATAGAAAGGTCTTTTGTAACATCGTAATGTTTACTGACCCCAAACTTTTGAATGTTAGTGTAGATTTGCCAAGACATAAAGGGGTAATAAGTATTTTTTTGTGTGATTGTAAAGGTTAAGTGTCATTTCTGTGGCTTACACATGGTACCAAAAATAATGACTATTTACAAACGTCATCAAGGTTTGGCTAGTTAGCATGGCCTCATCGTCACCTGCCAGTGATGCCTTAACTACACAGTCAGTCTACAGGCAAAAAGCATTTTTCTACAGACAAACATATATCTTTTAATAAATGCATGGTCATAATGAAAGAGAGAAGCCACACACATCAAGCAGTGCTGCTACACAGATTCACATTTAATTCAGAACCATTTAAAAATTATAGTCATATATTTCTCGTTTTTATATTTTTCTACACATTTGCTACAGGAATAAACAAACAGAGCTCTCTGTGAATTATTTACAGTGATCACACGACATAAAGGCTGCACTAGACATTAAAGATGTGAAAGCACTAAATGTTCGTAAGAGATTTGACAGCAACCAGAAGATGTTACAGGTGCCTTTCAGGTACCTTCCAATTACTTCAGTTCAGACATGACTGTGCATATATGTTCTCATGTTTGACTGCATGAGACATGCTGGGTTCTTTTGTCGTTTCTACATTTGATACATGAATTGCATTTTTGGCCATGGTAAAGAAAGCATTTCAAGAAAAAAACCTGCATTTTTCAACATCAAACATTATATGTATATTTATCAAAAAAAACATTATACTGTCAGTTTTCATAAATTAGGACACTTTAAATCTGATGCTTGTGTGGAATGCAAATGTCTCTTAAAACCACCATTTCTCCCTGAAACTGAAGAATTTGGCCCCTGCAAAGCGTTTCCAGCATATGGAAAGCTTTCAGTCTTTTAAAGAGTGACAACATTCATTTCTGACTTGTGAAAAGGAGTGAGGTGCATGAAAAGCGGTAAGTGTAAGTGAAAAAGATGTAATAGTAACACAGTGGGATGTGGCTCACTGAGGAAGGGCTTTCAGAATGGCATTCACTTCTTCTGCCACAGCTGTCAGGGCGAACTCAAACTGGTCCTGAAGAAACAATCGAGCTTAGTGCATGAATTCACTCTCACAACCACGTGCTGAAATCATGGGAAAGCACTTTGTACATACCTTAGTGCGTACCATACTAGGTCTCTGGTCACGAATATGCTCCAGTGTGGCGGCAATGTCAATCTCCTTCACGCCTAATACAGACAAACAACCTATGAGCATGCGGCGCGTACATGAAATGAAACGGCTAGATAGAGGAACAAGGTGCTTACCTTTCGCCATGCGGTTAAGTACCATGTCAATAAGAATGTAGGTGCCGGTTCTGCCAGTACCATCGCTGTGCAAAACAGGAAACCCATTTAAATCATTCATTTTCAATAACAGTAATAAAAAACGCCCATATTGTGAGCCTGAGACACACTGGTAGCCGTTTACCTGCAGTGCACAATGATTGGGCATGAGCGTCCTCTGTAGCACTTGTTTACTTTTCTAAAAAAAGAAAAAGGGAGGATAGAAGAGAAAAACTGAGCATGTAATAATGAGCATAACTGTCAGTTTGTCCAACCCTACAATTTATTCTTCTGTTGACAAAGAGGAACTGAGCGATGCGTGAGGCTGGGGAAGGAAGGGGGAGAGAGGAGATGGAGCATCCGTTAAGCCTCGCTCCTGCTGCACTCACACCTACCAATGATCATTTTTGTGACTATGCAACTGGACCCAGACTACTAGCTGCAAATCACAAAAATGACACTGGGAGGTGTGCTACGTCCAGGGACCTACCGATCTCCATCTGAGACCGAGAGAGTGACGGTGGGAGGAGGAGGAGGAGAGAAAGGCAGGAGTAAAACAGAGCCCGTGTCGAGCACAAATGGGGAAGGTCCAAAGTGCAAATGTATTCAATGGAGAAGGAACGAGGAAGGACTGGACTTTAAGGTAAAGAAAACATCCACAGATATTTAGGGAATCCCAAGTGTGAAGCTGATCCTCATATTAGGGTGAGGAAAAACAGTAGGGAAAGTATTTGCTATGAGACAATGAGTTTTTAGTCTAAATTGAGTTTTTTTTATGTTTATTTGATCATTTAAATAATGATTATTTTGATTTTTATTTATTTTTATTTCACTTTTATGCTATTAAATATTCTATTTACTCATTACTTGCATTTTTAATGCATTTAAAGGGGTCATATGATGTTGCTAAAAAGAACATTATTTTGAGTATTTGGTGTAATGAAATGTGTTTATGCGGTTTAAGGTTCAAAAAACACATTATTTTCCACATACTGTACATTATTGTTTCTCCTCTATGCCCCGCCTTTCTGAAACGCGTCGATTTTTACAAAGCTCATCGTTCTGAAAAAACAAGGTGTGCTCTGATTGGCCAGCTATCCAGTGCGTTGTGATTGGCCGAATACCTCAAGCGTGTGACGGAAATGTTACGTCCCTTACCATATTGTGATGCCTGCGGCAACCACATGTGACGACCCCGGGCTGGACTCCGCTTCGTCCACGGTGAAAGCCGATCCAGCGATCGACAGGCGAAGTTGAAATATTTCCTCAGCGACCAGCAAGGATCAGCTCCAGGCATGACAAAGCGATATCGTCCTCTTTTGGAAGGCCAAACAAAGTAGTTTCGCTTTCACAAAGAAGCACACAGCGCCTTCACGACATGGCGGTGGCGGCGGCAACAACACTACAGCGAGAATAAAAGTTACGCCTTCTTTCTTTGCGTGAACATTTGGGCGGCGTTATGCAAATCTTCCCAGATAGTGACGTAGGTATGTTAGAAACTTATATAGGCGTGTTAGAACAAGCCGTTTTAGGTAGGTGTGGCTGACTCTTAACTTTTATAAAGAATATCTCTTTGGATTTGAGACTTTAGTCTTTGCAACTTTACAGATCTTCTTTATGCACCAAGAGCTTGTAACACTCCAAAGAGAAAGGAAAAATTGAAATCGCATCATATGACCCCTTTAAACAATTTTTTTACCTTACACTATCAACAATAAACACTTTGTATGTTTTTATCAATAACATATTAAATAAACATTTAAACAATTAAATATAATATTTACTCATTGTGTTTATGCATTTTTAGAAAAACGTAGTATATACATAATTTGGAAAAATATCTTAGAAAACTTTGTATACAAAGCAATGACAGTAACAAGCCCATTTATTTGTTTCTAGCTGTTTGTTTGGCTGTTGTTATTAAGTCAACAAATCTTCAGTACAGATATTCACAGGTGCACCTGCAATTTACCAGAGCGCTCACTAAAAATTGTCTCGCTCGCAGTTAATTTTTAATTTTTAATTAATTATCCACCAGTTTTACCAATTTTAAGACCGTTTTGTGAACATTATGTCATATGAATTCGGCATTATGTTCTCCATGAGAACATATCGAGGGAAAAAAGATGCTGCCTCCCTCTGAAACTCTATCCAGCCGTGCTGCTATTGGACAGTATTACTTCATTTGCACACTATTATCGTTTAGTACATTTGTTTCGCTATTTCTGTATTGTCAAATTATTTCCTCATCTGAAATTTTCTGATGTGTGTGTGTAATCTGTCTGTAGTCCTATCAGAACGTGAGTTGCAAGTGTGAGGTGGTGTTGGGTTGTGGCAGTACCTGCGAAAGTCCAGCAGGGGCCGTGTGGAAGAGGGAATGCCTTGTGCAGGCCAGCTCAGCAAGTGAAACTGGGTCAGAGTGCGGGTCTCCTGAGTCTGAACGTTCTTCAGGTAGAAACTACGAACCAAGAAGTCTTTACACCAGATGTGTTCAGATACCAGGTTCACCTGAGACATACAAGAAAAAATAGGTAGTAAAGACTAAAAAACTAAACACAAGGGACTTTTAGGGCAATGAAACTGAATGTTTCTGACCTCATAGATGTTGTATAAAGATGATCCTTCATCAGGCCAGTAACGTTCACATTGTTTCTCTCCATCCTCCACTAGAGCGGTCATCATCACTATTACAGTACAGCCGTTCTCCCATACCATCTAACATTCGCACCAAAACACAGTGTCAGTATACAAAGAATCATTTATATAGGAGATGCATGTTCATTTAATCTAAACCATTTTACTGTTATTCTATTATTCCATTTATAGCCATTTAGTAATATATTAGTAATTTATATTTTTGTGATATTTTTTTTCTAATATTCTTATTTTATAAATATTTAAAAATATTTTATTTGTTAAATCTAAATCTTAAAATGTCATCATTACTCTCAACTCTTACCTGCCAGAAATCAGCAATAGTGTGCGGTAAAGGTCCTTGAGTTGCAATATAAGCAGGTAAACGTGGATCATGATCAATCTATGGGTAAAGAAAGGAAGTCCTTTTATAGACAAACAAACAAGTATTTAATTATCTAGCATACAGCAACGACTTTGTTTTGCTGTGGAATGAAGATTAACGTTTCTTACTATAGTGCTGGCATTTATGTAGTCCTCTTTTGAGGGGTTGACCTCTGCCTTTATTTTCACTCTCAAATGGTCATCTAAAACATCAAATGTTTTAATTAAACATACTGAAAATTAAAAAAAAAAAAAAAAGTAATTTTTGGTATACCCTTATTTGCATCTACCAGTGTACAATACTTTTCAAACGTTTGGGTCAGTAAGATTTTGTAAAGTTTTTGAAAAAAATCAAGACTGTAAGGCTGCATTTATTTGCTCAAAAATGCACTAAAAACAGTAATATTGTGAAATATTATTACAATTTAAAATAAAATTTTCTGCTTGAATATATTTTAAAATGTCATTTATTCCTGTGATGACAAAGCTGAATTTTCAGCATCATTACTGCAGACTTCAGTGTCACATGATCCTTCAGATATCAATCTAGTATGCTGATTTTCAGCTCAAGAAACAGTTCTTAGTATTAGCAATGTTAACAACTGTTGCTCTGCTCAATGATTTTCTTATAAAAATAGAAATTGACGTAGAAATATAATGTCTCTACTATCACTTTTGTTCAATTTAATGTGTCCTTGCTGAATAAAAGTGATTAATTTCTTTCCCAAAAAATCTTACTGTAGTGTATAGTGTATATGGATCAGTGAAATAAATGTTTTGTTTTTTTTAAAGGCACATTGCTCTTACAGGGCACAAAGTCGGGATAGCGGTTCTTCTCAATGTTGCTTTCAGACTGGGCGATAGAGACAGAGCTCGGCTCAGCCTGGTACGAACACAAAGCCTCCCACTCTTTCCGTAATCGGTCCTTATTCTTCAGATGGTCCTCCATATATGCCTGAACAACAGAAATGGACTTGAAGCATTCCACTGACTGCTCATGAAATGCCTAGTTTGCTTCTATGTAATTAATAAACAACTTGGCATGACAAAAAAGACTCCAACTTAATCCTCAGAACTGACTAATATAAGTAAAATAAGACATGAAGACAAAACTCTAATAGTTCTTCTTTGCTTAACTTTACTGCAGTTTTGAGCATGTTTAATATAGACTTGGTTTGTGCAAGCAGGTACTGCACCCTATTTACTGATATGTGCTGAACAGTCAGAAACTGTAGTGCAATAATTCCTGTTAATTAGAGTATGATTCTCACTTTTTACAGCACATAGAAAGATGCTGCATATTACACACACTAGCAAAGTAAAGTCTGAATTATAATTTGTGTATTTAAAATGCTTTTGTGGCTGTGTACCAGTATCATGTGTCCGGTGGAGATGTCCATGTTGGACTGTGCAGGCTCTTCGCTCCAGGACGGTGTGCTGCTGTGAGAGCTGGGACTGTGCTGCGGTCCATCGCTGAACTGAGACGACACACTGCTGACTCGAGATGTGTCGGTCCCCCGTCGACCGCCTGGCTCCGGACGGGTGAACGATGACTTGGCTGCCATGTGCTGGCGACACAGCTCCTGAGAGATGCAGAGAAACCTTCTCATCACTGACTGAGCATTAATGTTTCAAATGACGTTTTCAGATCAATAATCATCACTGTCAATGTACAGTTAGCAATAGCACTAATACTCAATGTCAAATTAATATAAATGCAATTACAGTGCTGATTATATGCCAGTTACACCTGATTAGGATTGATTACATTGATCAAAAGTGACAGTAAAGGCATTTATAATGTTACAAAAGATTTCTACTTCAAATAAATGCTGTTCTTTTGAACTTTCTATTCATCAACAACCTGAAAAAAAAAAATATATATATATGTATATATTAAGCAGCACAACTGTGTTCAACATTGATGATAATTAATGTTAACAAGTAATGCCTTAAGCTGCAAATCAACATATTAGAATGATTTCTGAAGGATCATGTGACACTGAAGACTGGAGTAATGATGCTGAAAATTCAGCTTTGATCACAGGAATAAAGTACATTTTAAAATATATTAAAATAAAAACAGTTGTTTGAAATTGTACTAATATTTCACAATGTTACTGTTTTTACTGTGTTTTCTGATCACTGAATGCAGCCTTGGTGAGCAAGCAAAAGACCCCAAAGGCATTTCAGGCTCCTGAAAAGGTGGTGATATGACAATATTCCATGTGCAATTATATTGTTTTCTTTCATTTCTGTGTAATGTGTTTTTTAAATTTTTGATTCTTTTAGGGTCATTCTATATACGTTTTTGTCCTGATTACATTTTCTTTTTTGGATGATATAGTAAATATCTTAATGTCGCTCTGTATCTTTCTCTTTCTGTGTTTTTGTATGTGTTTAACATTGTACCTGGTAATCAAAGTGGGTTTCCGCACCGGCTTCTGGTCCCAGTCCCAATTTGCCAGAGGCTAACTGACGGGTGTGGTGCCGGAGACAGGCAATCGCCAGGGCAACTAACAACACCGTGCCCACACACGCCATGGCGACCATTGTCAGGACGACCCCACGCGAACCCTCTCCTACCCGTGTGGCCTGGGGCAAGCCACGCCATTCGCTCCTCTATAATAAGGGAGAGAAACAGAAAAAGAGATATATAAGAAACATGAGACAACATAATACAAAAAGGACGATGGAACGCAAGGAAATTAAAATTAAAAACATTTCAGAGATCGCTTTCATCGCACAATCAAATAAGGAAAGTGCAGCGTTTGTGTGGTCTCTCTGGCACAAGACAGTGTCTTCCCTGCACTCTCTCGTCCCTCTTTTGTCTCTCTCTCTATTTGTGTAAACAAGTCGGATGTCATCATCGACTACTAATTACCCTGGCAACCCAGACACACACGCACAGCCACGTGCCACCCCGAAATAATTAGAGAAAGTCACCGCCCCGCTGAAAAATTACCAGCAAGTAAACAATTAAGGAAATCCCCCACACAATGCAGGGTCAGTCACTCTGAGGGGATCTCTTGCACACTCTCATTTAGTTTATTCCATCTCTCTCCCTCTGTACTTACAGCACATCGAGAGAACAAGAAAACGAGCGGATGCCATGATTGTTGATGTCATGCAGCCACCGTCCCAGCCCTCTGCCCCCGTGTCTCCAACCCCTGCCTATTGGTGTTGCCATGGTGTCTGGGAGCCTCAGCAGGGCAGAACAGGCCATAGCGCTACCATGGCAACAACAGAATGCTCAATGTAACCCATGGCAATCACAGTGAGCAAAGGAAATGAGACAGGAGAGCAGAGGAAATATGCTATTGTCAATATGCCTACATTATTATATTGAATAATATGTGGTGTTATCTACAGAAACCACCTTAGTATGTCATACTTGCCGGCACATCTTTTTAATCCATATGCATTCGAATCCTTACCTTTGGGTGTTATTATTTTGATATATTTATGTGTTAAAATATAAGATGCTGCTAAATATTTTACCACGATTACTCAAATAAAAGAGAATATCCTCTGTACTAAAATAAATTACAGCCTCTGTAAAATTGAAATATACATAAACACAAAACTGCACTTGCTCAGGTAAATGTATGCTTGATTTATGTTATTAATAACTACATTTATACTCAAATAAAACACTCTGTATTTATGTCATTAATAACTACATTTATAATCAAATAAAACACTCTGCCTCTGTAGAACTTTAGGATGATTAATAATACGTAATCACACAACTGCACTTGCTCAGGTAAACGCATGCTTGATTTGTACTAATTTCACACTTATTATACAAATGCATACATATATATTTATACTAAATTTATACTTATTATCTTGAAGTCCTACAGAAGCTGTAGTTTATTTTACAGCTTCTGTAGGACTTCAAGATAATTAAAAATACATAATCACACAACTGCACTTGCTCATACGAATATACGCTTGCTTTATGTCATTAATAACTACATTTTCATTAATAATTAAAACTTAATATTACTTGCGCCCAGAATATCAATTAATATTTGGCAAGAAAATCATTCTGAAAAAAGTACAGGGGATTATGACAAAAAATATCAGGAACATTTAATTAATTTATTTCAATTAAATTATTTCAATAAATTATTTTAACTCCTGCATTCAATTAAATTATATGCCTCACATATCAACCAAACCTGATCAAAGAAATATTGTAATTTAGTGCATAATGCTCAATATTTAATAATATTTTGATGATTTCAATTAAACTACATGGCTCTCACATCAACCAAAGCTGATTAAATTATTATTTTAATTTAGTGTACAATCCTCAATATTTAATAATATTGTAATGATTTTAATGAAATAACCATTTTAAGAGTTTTTGTAAACAATTGCAAATTGACTGAATACAACTGAACACAATCATTTGAAACCATTTTTATAAATGACCGACCTTTACATCCATCAATATTTACTTTTCCACAAAAATTTTCAAAAGATTAATTGTCCCTTGAGGTATTAATAAAGTTGTAAACTAAAAAACAAATCTCGCCATGTGAAATAAAACAGGAAAGAATGCAACATGAACTTTTAACAACCTATTCTTACACTGGCTATAATTTTCGCACAGGCACCCAATGGTTTTTCTGAGAAAGTGGAACAGACCTTTAGGCTGACACCTCACCACCATCTCTGCAGCGCACAGGCAACCGTTAGAGCTGAGCTATAGCAAAAGAAAAAGATTGAGTGAATGAACACTTAAGTCTGACCACAAAGAGTTCAGAACGCTTTCCCTTCTTTTCTGTCCTTTCTCAAAATTCATCAACCATTTTCCCCCTCGCTCTCTGTCCTCCTCACACCCACTCTCCCTCTCATTCTCCTTCTTCGTTCCTCACACGTTTCATTCTGCCCCTCTTATTCCCACTCAAATTCGGCCTTTTCTCCTGAAAAGCTAGAAGAATGTTCCGCAGGAGAGACTGAAGGGGGTGGAAGGCGGGAGGGGGTGGTGGTGTTGAAGCAAGGGTGCGCGACTGGACGGAAGGACAATGGGGGAGGAGATAAAGGGTGTGGGGCGCCTCACCTGCTACTCCAGAGAGGCCCCGAAAGGAAGACTGACAGCCTTTTAGAATGGAGCACAGGAGCAGGCAGGAAAAATGAACTGGTTTAGGACAAGAGGACAAAGGCCCCCCAAGGTCTGAGAGGGGCAGGCGGAGAAATGAGGAGGCAGAGAGAAAGCGGGAGAGAAGGCAACTGATCACAAGAAGAGAAAGCATGGTTACAGGGAACGAGAGAGTAAAACTCTGCGCAGGAGGGGGAAAAGGGGTCCGGAGAGGGTGATATGTGAGGAATAACCTCACGACATGCGTAAAGAGAGCATAATGCACAGTTCAGCACATACTCTATATATATATATATATATATATATATATACGAACATGTCGCTACGAATACTAATGTGCATTTGAATCACAATAAGCTGTTGGCCAAGGAAGCATAATTCAAACATCTGTTCCTCAAAAAGCGGGAAAATAGGATTCAGGGTCCCAGGACCCCTCTGCCGTTCCCCATGACCCCCGAGCCCTTTGACTTCAGCCACAAAAAAAAGGAGATACACGCACACAAACACACACGTATGGCTGTGTGTGTGCTTGTTTGTTTTGGAAGATCCCAAGGGCAAAGATCACCAAGAGCTTCGCACTCTGAATCACAATAGGCAATTCAGGCACGGCCCGAGATGTCCGAGTCAGAAATGGAGCACCGACCATCTCCGAGGCTCTCGGTGATCTAAGATTTCATCAGTCCGTATCTGATAGAGGCGTTCAGACTATGACTCGTCAGAATTCACATCACTGCCGTCGTCTCGCTGCTTTTATATTGCACAGCAGAAGGTCTGCGGTTTTTATTGAGTTTCCTCTAAAAAAAAAAAAAACCTTTAGAGAGTTGTTTATAATGGATGATTTTTCTCTCTCTTGCATCTTTCAATACCACCAGCTGTTTTTTTATAAATAATATTTGAAATAGAATAACTGTTCTTTTGTAACCCTCTAGATGGAAACTAGAAAATGATTAAAAGAAAATTATCTAAAACTATCTAAGGGTAAGCAATGAAATGTATTTTAAGGTAACAAGAAAAATTAACATCCAGTTAATTCCAGTCACTAAATGAGTGATTTTAGCAGTGATGATAACATTTTATGCAATAAAACCTTTTTTTACGACCTTACAATAATATCTAATTAGTGCACGAAACCAAGAGAAATAGTATGAACTTAGGTGCACCTGCAATGACTACAAACGGATTACATCATCTCACTCATCCAGCCTGCTCTGCCCTGTTACCACAGCAACCGGTCCACCTGACATCACTATTCAAGATAGAGCACAATTCTTAAAAACAGCATTTAACAAAAATGTTTTATCAAACGCACATATACCTTACGGATCCAGCACATGGCATTGCGCATACACCATACACACACATTCGTAAGTACGCCAAGCTGAATAACACCGAAGATGTGAACTGAGATCAAATGCATTTGGTTAATTGTTATTTTAGTTTTAATTTCTTAGCATAATTTTTCCAAATACTACCAAATAGTAAAAGACACATATTTTAGTTCTGTTATTATGGTAAGATTTGTTGCCACAGATGCTAAAAAAAAATGTGTTTTAAGTTTAAGAATAAATATTTGTATCAAATAGTTTATATATAGTTTACATATGTAGACAATTCAGTTGATAATCATCATAATTTATTTTTACCCCTGAAAACTAAAGAGAGAGAGAGAGGGAGAGAAAAATGTAATACCTCCTTATAAGTTTAGGCTAGTGTTTTAGTCTAGTTTAGTGTTGTTTGGTAACTAGAAAGAAGAAGTTTGAGTAATTAATGTGCATTTGTTTTTCACAGATTTATGTAACTGATAAAGCCTACAATATATTGTACAAAACACTGACTTACACTTAAAATACAGCATTATTCGCAACTGTGTCGTAGCTTTTAACTGATATGGTATTTCAAGGAGTGTATGGGTGTGCAAAAGAGAAAAAAAGTTAAACATTTTTTGAGCTGTGATCATTTTTAAATGATGTATATTACAAAGCAAATTTCATGAAAAAGTTTCTACCGAAAGGAGAAAAAAAATTCTGAAAAATATATATATATATATATTACAAATGTTAATTAAATCTGATAAATCAGGAAACATGATTAATGGCATCAGCATATTGATCGACTATTTAAGCGATAGTTATGCACACACTTTTTTACATTATTTATAAGGAAAATATATCATAATGTTAAGCACAACCATCAGAAAAACATCCAAATAAATACACATCTCAGCATTTAAACACTACATAAAGGCCTACAGCATCAGTAGATCTAGTATGAAACAGAACTCACCGGCACACATCTCGTGTGCTCTCCGGACTCTCAGACCTCTTTACATCACACGCACCACAACATCACAAGCAGGACTGTCTTCAATCTCACATTTTCAAGCCTCCTCAAAGTCCAAGCATCCACGGTCGGACAACTTAAGCAAGCATCAAACAAGCGCTTCAAAGCCAGCAGTTAACATTTCAGAGCTGAGAAACCAAAACGGAAGGAAAGAGTGG